GGTGGAGTAAATCAGACAAATAAGACGGAGCATTACTTTTGAGATAAATGGTAAGGTGGAAATTGGTCGATAATTTTCTAAAACAGAGGCGTCAAGAGAGGGCTTCTTGAGAACCGGGGTAACCATGGCCATTTTCAGGTCGTCCGGAATGGACCCGGATTTCAAGCAGTTATTCAACAGTGATACCAGCCCTGGGACCACAGTATCAATAATTTGCCTCAAAAAGCGGAGGTGAATTACATCAAGGGGACAGAAAGAGGGTTTTAATTTTGTGATCACCTCCTTGACTGTTTGTAAAGATACATCGTTAAATGTTGTCCAAGGTGTTGGATTTGTAGGTGGCAACTCAACGTAATCTGTTACCTGTATCTGGGCCCTCAAATTTGTAACTTTGTCACAGAAGTATCTCAGGAAGTCCTCAGAAAGCGCAAAGGAAGGATTTTGAAAATAATTAGTAGGAGAATTTAGAGCAGAGTTAATAACAGAGAAAAGTATTTTAGGAGTACAGTGATGCTTTTCAATAAGATTTGAAAAATAGAAGGCCTTGGCTTTCTTAACAGCTCTTAGGACAAACACATTTTTTATAAGGACAAACACATTTTTTAGAATATCAAAAGAGATTTGCAGTTTGTCTTTTTTCCATTTTCTTTCCGCTTTTCTGCAGGATTGTCTGAGGGAGCGAATGTTATTATCAATCCAGGGTTCTAATTTGGGTTTTAGTTTAAAATGCTTAAAAGGTGCAATGGAGTTTAATACATCCGTCCAGACTGTATTTAAAGAATTGAAATGGTATTCAGCATCAAGACCAGAGAGTGATGACTCAACCGACAGGGAAGAGTTAACTTTATTGTAAAGCGCAGTAAAATCCTCGCAAAAATGTGACGAGTATACGCGAGTTTGTCTTATATCAGAGACTGTTATCTGGGGAATCTCAGGAAGACACATCATAAATACAATGGGAAAGTGGTCAGATATGGGGGATTCAATCACTTCAACGTCCGTTATAGTCAGCCCAAAAGTCAATATTAAGTCCAAAGTGTGCCCTTGTAGATGTGTAGGATGGCTAACCCATTGCAGTAAATTAAAAGAGTCAATGGTGTTCAGGAATTCAGTGGATAACTGTTTAGAGGGGCAACACACATGGACATTGAAGTCACCAACTAAAAGAAATCGGTCATGTTTAGTAACCAGGTCCCCTATGAATTCAGAAAATTCCGCTATAAAACCATTTACTAAGTGAGGTGGCCGATATACCAAAACTAGGACTATTGGTTCAGACCAGTCAAGCAATAATATCTGAGATTCAAAGCTTGTATATGTGGCAGAGGATAATAGACGACAACGTGATTTAAAAGTTTTCCTTGTGATAATAGCCAATCCTCCTCCCCTACCAGTAGGTCGGGGAGCATCGTAAAAACCGCAATCTGCTGAAACAAGTTCAGAATAGGGGCTTAAGTCTCCTTTCTTCACCCAAGTTTCAGTAATAAGCAAGAAGTCCAGATTTTGAGAGGACATAAAATCATTAAGAATGTAGGTCTTGTTAACCAGAGAATGAGCGTTGATCAGCGCCATTTTTGGAGAATGCAGAATGTTAAATGTTACTGCAGGTAGTGTCGGTGACTCCATTTCAGCCGTCCGGCCGTGTACGTGTCTAGGGACGGAGGTTACACCTGGTGGGGGACTCTGAGAGGACCTCACCACTACACCATCCTGGACTCTGGAGGCCTGATAGTGGCTGTGGAGGCGCATAGAGACAGACAGATCAGCTCAATAAAGTAACACACTATCACTTGCCCTGCAGTTGTATTACACGTTGTTCTTGTTCTGAAAGAAAAAATGTGTAATATGTAGTCACTGTCATATATGACTGTGTGTCTGAATGTTTTCAGGCTTTCCACAGATGAAGGACAGTGCTGGAAAATATTTAATTTCACCGACCACCCCATCTTCTTGGCCGGACTGGCATCCGAGCCGGGCACTAAGACAATGAATATCAGCATTTTCGGCTTCCGCCCAGATGATGATGATTAGCCCATGTGGGTGGCTGTCACCATAGACTTTGAGCACCTGCTCACCAGAGAATGTAAGAAACATTTCAAGAATTATGGGCAGATTTTAAATACTGTAATAAGTATTATACTACATCATCAAATCATAGTGGCGACGAAAGCCGACTGTGGTGTTGCCTCATGACGCCTGCGTCTGAACCAAAAATTAGCACTTTAACACACCGCAAAGACTACAGCCAATGGGCAACTAGCACATACATTCTGAACTTGCGTGAGAGGAAATAACTCTCCATACCAGCTTTCGTCAATTCCATTTTACTTGCTTGCACTAGTTCACTAAGCTGAATAGCTAATCGGAGTGATCTCTCTTACCAACCAGCCCATCAGCTTCATGTCACTGCCTTAAGAATGAAAAAGTTCCTTTGTAAAAACTACAGTTTTACAATCTCTCGGTGTTCCTAGGTGATGAACAGGACTATGTGCAGTGGTTGGCGCTCTCTGACTATGACTCTGACTCTGACCCAGAAACAGATGGATGCCTCTTGGGCTACAAAGAAACATTTAGAAGACTGAAGAAACTGTCAGCATGTAGAAATGGGAGAGGATATGTGGTCAGCAGGCAGCAGCACTCATGTCCTTGCACTAGAGATGACTACATGTGGTAGGAAAAATTGCACCACACTGAGGTTTGGACTTCTGCTTGCGGCCAAACGAAAGTGTTTTCTGAACATCTCTCCTGTCAACAGTGAGTACGGTTTCTATCTGCATGAAAACACCTCGGAGTGTCTCCTACAAGCCGACTTCTTGAATCAAACCCAGGATATTTGCTTAAATGGGGAGCTAGATGACCTTCAGCATACAGGGTGATGGTGAAATATATCTTTATTTTCCATATAAAAAAATTTAAAACACACACACATACACTTAATTGCTATAATTATAACACTGTATTAAACAGGTATCGTAAGATTCCTGGTGATAAATGTGAGGGGGGTTTCAGCCCTCCGAGAAGAGAAGACTCTTTCAAAAATCTTTGTGGGAAGGACATTTCACCAGCCTCCTCAAATTCGCATACTGTGAGTGAGTCAGTGAGTGGCCCATTTGTCATGACAATAATTATTCACTATACAGTGGCCAAAAACATGAAGTAAAATCACTTATCATGTATGATACAATATAAAGACCATAAATACTTTTTTAAAAGAGCTTTAAAAGAATACATATAGAAAAACATAGTTGATGAACTGAATAAATACATTTATTGTCTTTCTATTGCAGCTGGGCATGCTGGTTCTTATTGTGGTGTGTACTTGTGTGGGGGTCATTGGTTTGGGTATTACTGCAGCTTTAATAATCACCTCAAGGAGAATAAACTGTAGGCATAGGTAAGGTCACATGATAAAACCTGATTGGCCTCCGTTGGATATTATATCCATTTGAAGCCACATTCAGTATCTCTCACACAAGATATTCAGTACATTGCAGAAGTCAGATTCTCTATTGGTCAAATTCTGCCCCCTGCAGGTCACATGCTTATCGCTTTTCTGCTCTGCAACTCCAAGATGATGATGATCTGTGTGTTAGCAAAGACAGCAGCCCCAATGGCAAACTAAATGGTTTCCAAGTCCAGGAGGATTCCGATGAAATGAGCTTGATGAATCAATCAATATTATCCTCGCCTGTATCGACTGAATTTGGCTGTATTTATTTATTTATAGTTGATTATGTATTTTAGCATTCGCTTGCCTTGCTGATTTTTTTTATTTCTTCTTTAGGATCTCATTGAGTGAACAACATTTAAACTCTTGGAACTACTCGGGCTTTGCAGACAAGTTTTTCAAATGAATCTCACACCCAGGCACTGTAACTGGATAATAAACGCTTGGAAATAATGGTGAACTACATTTTTCAAACCGAGGCAAATGATATCAGGTTCCTATTTTGTCCTATGAAGTGTCTTATACAGGGACCAGAGGATAATCATTACGAGTTAATTTATTTTCACCCTCTCTGTCTTTTGCACTGGAATCATTCATATTCCCTCCGGCTGCTGCTGGCAATCCTCCTTGAGATTTGGGAATATGCAATTTCAAATAGACCAATCAACTGTTTTTGAATTGTAAATAAATTAAAATGCATTTAAACATCTGCATTTTTTATGCTCATCCTATCATCAACATTTTAATTATTGTGTTACCCATAATACACCATAATAAATATATTCTTTAGTATATAATTATAAAAAAAAAATGATAAAGATTTTTTTTATTAAAAAATGCTCTATATAGGCTATATATATATACATATATATCTCATATTGCAGAAAACTGCTCAACCGCAATACCACTATACAATACCACTACAGACAAATGTCAAACGAGAAAGACACCAAACAGTTGTCTGTCTTGGAAAACAAACAAACCACACACCTCACAAGAGCATACACTCACCTCACACCTCCTCACTAACACACACTCACACATATACTACATACCACACAACACACCAACATGAATCATACTCTCACACATCTTCACTAAAACACCCATCTCACTCAAGATTCAAGAATATTTAAGCAATACAGGGCATAGGAAAAAATAAATAAAACAACAATAACAAAACAAATTAATTACATTATATATAAAGTATGTAGCCTATACTATTGTCTTTGAATTGCGTTGCCTAAATATAATGAGTGTTTTTCAGACTATTGCCTATGTATATATTATAGTATATAGTATAAACTAAATATCTATAATTTCCTATTTAAACATAGTTTAGTTTAACCCAAACGACTTTAAAAAATAACAATATTCTGTTCTTTCCAACATTCCAAATTGTCATCCGTTTGAACTACGTAGGCTAGAACTAGTATGACTAGTTTTTAACAAATTATGCATAAAACCCCTGTGCAGTGTGGGCGGGCGCCATATAGGACAGCTATATACGCCCACACGGGCGTGTCGTCCTAAAACAGTCGTACACATCTGCACAAACGCACGCTCCTCCTCTATAGCGAACCCCGGATGTGAGGGGATATTCAGCGCTGTGTCGCCGTGTCACCAGGTACTTCCTTCTATTCTCCTCTTCTTTAGTCAATCACAGTCTAAAAATATATTCGTTGGGTTACATGATGTTCTTGACTTCATATTATATATCTATTTCAAAGTTTATTATCGTGTTTTGTTTGCATATTCACCTTATGCTAACGGCTACTATCAGTTTTTCTGCTGTCATCTAACATCTAAACTTAACACTACAACCGTTTAATTCGCTTCTGGCATCTTTTTCAGGCATAATTAGAGGTTTTCGGGATTTATGTGTTTGTTTTACATGTTAGATCTTGAGCATTTTGTTGAATATTTTATTGGCTCAGTCATTTTCAGACAGCCTGACAGGTGAAGACTGATACAGGTATATAAATGTAAAACTTATGTTGGTTTGTGTTAAACCGGCTTATGAGATAGTTGAAAACAGAAATCGTGCAGTTTATTCATAAACAATTTAATGCACTTTTATTCATAAACAATTGAATACATTATAGAATTCTGTGATGTTGAGTTAAACGTAAAATATGTTTATTTAACAGAGCTGAAAGTAGTACAAATAAATATTTGCTTAGCTGAAAGGATAATCAAGTTACTCAGAATATATAATAAAGCAAATGGATGAGGATCGGAAATGTTAATTATTTATCTCATTCTGAATCAGCCAAATATAGGTTAGTCAGTCAGCCTGGCCATTGTTTTGTTGTGTGACTTTTCACAATCATCTTGATTATCTTGAGTAAATTTCTGTAGGTAATATAAGTATTGTATTAGGAATATTTAGGAATTCAGGCTTTTGTAACATGATATCTGATCTCATATCAGGTGTCTGGATCTCAGTGTGGTGACTGCTGCTTGCAAAACCGCCAGGATGATGCGAGCAGGAGGTTTGTTCCGTTTCTTTCAGTCTAAACTCTGCTAAAGTATATATTTCATGTAACCGAAGGCAAATATTTGCTCTTTTGTCATTGACAGTATGTTGTGGTAATGTCTGTTTAATAGCAGTGCAAAAAAAGTTTTGCCTTAAAGGGGTCATATGATGCGATTTCAATTTTTCCTTTCTCTTTGGAGTGTTACAAGCTCTTGGTGCATAAAGAAGATCTGTGAATAATTGCAGAAAACCTAACAATTGTATAGTGTGTAAAAGTGAACAAAATAGTTTAAATTAGTGGTGTAACGGTGTTGTGCCCAATTTTGGGGGGTACTACCTCGGTTTTGATGTCACAGTTCGGTTGTGCCACACAGAATTGGGCACAACACTGGTACACAAACATGACGGTTCGGTACTACCTCGGTTTTGATGTCACAGTTCGGTACGGTTTCGGTGCAGCAGGGGGAAAAACTAAACATAAAATTGCTTTTTTTATATTAAACAGTGGTTTATTGAACAAATGGCTCTTTCTTTAAATAAATTTAATTACAATGAAAATTTTCGAGGGATAAAAATCTACCTCAAATTATGATCTATACTATAGGGGGCCCTTTTACATTACTATAAGGTTACAATTAACAACAGAGCCCAAACTTAAATTCAATTACTATTATTATTATTTATTTTAATATAATAATAATAAACACTCAGATTAAAATATTGTATGCAAACATGTAAAGTTCACATAATGCAGTTTTTAAATTAACTTCTAAATTATACAATTTCTATTGTTGAAATATAATCATTTACACAGTGGCTGTCATAACTTGTTTCATAACAGATTTATTTAAGCACATTAAATAATTAAGACATCACTAACGGATAAAGTAAAATATAATGAGTATAATCTAATATTTCGTCAAATGCTCTTCTCTGCACTTAATTTCTCTAGCGAATTAATGAGCTGCGTTCACTAATGACTTGAGGTAAATTAAATGCTACATGACATTTTGTTTACAAGCTGTTTTATTGCCGTCTTTCCGCGGTTGAAACGCTGATTGAACGATTACATGAGGCATGAGATGTTCATTCATGTTTATTTTGCGTTAAAACTAGTAGTAAAGAGGAAGTGATGATCATGTTTGAACTGAGGCGCCTATACAGTAATTTGTCGCGCCACAGAGTCAAAACGGCATTTATTGTTTGAATTTCCTGAAAAAAATCGACATAATTTTAAAGATGAGACTTTGTTTCTCATCAAAAGTAACAATATATAAAACTATTACTATGGACTTTATAAACTCAAGAATATGGAACTTTTTTGTTTACAGGACTTTTGAAACTGGCAGTGCTGGTTTCTCTCTTGTTTCTAGCTGTGTTCCTGGCATTTGAGCTATTGGAGAGCAAAGCGAATTTTAATTTGGGCAAAGTACTTGGTGAGTTCATGCATGCAACCATTTTCTGCAACTTCCTTTACACACACGGAACATATTGATCTGAAACTGTACACGCCTTTTGTTAGTAAAGATAAATAATACACTTGTTTGGTTAAAGAATGATTTTGCGTTTTTCAGTGTTCGACATGGCACACTGCTATTTGCTAATCGACATCTTTTTCTCTACAGCACGATATGCACCCGCAGAGACTGTCTGTGAGTACATATTTACATTTTTTTTTTTACTACACATGAGAATTGAGGCTGGTGAATGAGTTCCCAGGACTGGATGAACAAGCTCCTCCTGAACCTTTGATTAGAACTGTGTAGATGCAAATTAGGGAATAAATAAATGTAATTTGGAGCTGTGCAGAAATCAATAATTGCCTTACATATTACTGCAGAGTAATAATAGTATGAATGATTCATATGTAGGTTATTGGTGCGACATGACATGAATATATATATATATATATATATAATAGGTGTTATATTCTTGATATTCAGAGTTCCATAGTTGTCACATTAGATGTGTTGGGCAGCTGCCATTTACTTTAGTCCTTTGATAAAGTAGGTGTATTTTGTTGTGATCTTTTTTTTTAATTTTATAACTTCATCTACTTAAGAAGCGTGTCGCAAGACATAATTCAGCGTGAAGACTCCTGTCTGGTGCATGTGTAAATAATAAAAACGATTAATAAATTGTGCAGTCAGAAGGCAAGAACATAGCCAAACACATTTTTTTTTCTGAAATAGTAAAGACATCTGTGTTTATGGATGTATTGATGTTGTTTTCAGCCACCGGGCCTCCGTGCCACAAATGCAGCCTTTCTAAATCATGTCCGGAGGACCATTTTGCCTTTAAGATCACCAGCGGAGCAGCCAGCGTTGTCGGCCCAAAAATGTGTTTTCAGGATACTGTGTAGGTTTTACACACATCTCTTAGTACACTGCATTATTGCATAAACACCATAGAAACATAAACACTTTTTATTGACTGGGGATGTCCTGAATTCAGAGGAAACATGACTGCTGCTGTTTGAACTCTTTCTTCTTTATCTTTTATCAGATTAATGAGTGGAGTAAAGAACAACGTTGGACGGGGTATAAACATTGCTTTGATCAATGGTATGCCTCCTTTTTGTCTTAAGAAACACGCTGATGGTGAAACCTTTTTTAACTGAAAACAGTGACAGTATGTAGGCAACTGAGATAAGTTGGCCTGTATTAATCCACTGTCTTTTTACAGGGAAGACCGGCGAGCTCATCAGGACTGAATCCTTTGACATGTGGTCTGGAGGTAAATCTGTTTCTACACCTTCTATCTTGTTTACATTTATGCATATTGCATGTGTAGGTGCAATCTGGCTTCTCTGTTTAAACCTTGTATTAAAATCCATCTTGGGTGATCACCTCACTAAAGCTGTTAGATACACAGTCTTTTTGTCACATTTTTATATACTTTTTGACGTGACGTGACATGTGGCCAAGTATGGTGGACCCATACTCGGAATTAGTGCTCTGCATTTATCCCATCCAAAGTGCACACACACAGCAGTGAACACACACACACTGTGAACACACACCCGGAGCAGTGGGCAGCCATTTATGCTGCGGCGCCCGGGGAGCAGTTGGGGGTTTGGTGCCTTGCTCAAGGGCACCTCAGTCGTGGTATTGAAGGTGGGAGAGAGCGCTGTACATTCACTCCCCCCACCTACAATCCCTGCCGGTACGAGACTCGAACCCACAACCTTTGGGTTATGAGTCCGACTCATCTAACCATTAGGCCACGACTTCCCACATCATCGCTCATTTTGCTTCAAATGTAAAAAAAAAAAAGTTTGTATTCTCCTAGTAGCTGGTTGGCTTGGTTCATGGCTTATAGCACTTTAATTAAGACTATTTAAAAAATCTCTATGGGAAAAATGAATAGGGAAAAATACATCCGGAAAAAAGTGGGTGGGTAGTAATGCACTATATTCAAGCCGTTTTGTTGTCTGATCACTCAAACCACATTCAGACGTAGTCCGAAACGCATATGATCACATCGCATTTGTATTGTAATGTTGTCCTCGGACAGTGGTGCAGGACTGCCTTCTCGCCTCTGTCAACAACTGCACTAAAAAAGTAGCCATAGGAGAAGTGTTTGAGAATTGTGGGTACTCATAAGCACTCGTCTCACCTAACTGCTTTTTATTTAGCAGTGGTTCTTCTTGACTTTGAGGCCCCTTATTATCCAACATTTGAAGGCCCCCCATGTAGGCTAAGATATTTCAGATAATTCTGCTGTAATGACAAAGCTGCTCATTTTCAACTTCTTGTATTTTCAGAAACTAGCAGTGGCAATATATTTAAATAATTAAATAAAATTATTTTATAATTAAAATGAGAATCATTAAGGTCCATCATTTTAGAATTTCAAGAACTGATATTTATGACAAATGAATTTACATGACTTTTACTGTCATTGATGATTTCAGGGTAAGGTTTTTAAAAATAATTTTTACTCACAGATAACAATTTCTTAAAATATTTTTTAAGACATTTTTTAAAATTAATTAATTCTTAAATAAAAAATGACAGTTGTCGAGGGAACAAATTAAACTAAATTTTAAAGTTTTAAAGTGTATTTTAAAGCTAATTTTCTCTTTAAATCATTTTAAATTATCTTGAGGCCCACTTGGAAGTGTGTTGAGGCCCCCTAGTGGTTTCCAGCCCCCTGGTTGAATTTTATTTGGATGGCAAGAGACTGATTTTAATACCAGTTGAAAACAGGGCCACTTATGGTTTCATTGGTAAGAGCTTGTTTGTATTTGCAAACTGGGCAGAGTCAAGTAACTGAAATGTCCTTTTGAGTGGCATGCAAAAGTTAATCTTTTTAAATGTTTATTCTTGTCTAGATGTGAACCAGCTTATCAAATTCTTGAAGGAAATAGAAGATGGAAGTATTGTCATGATGGCCACTTTTGATGACCCTGCAACAAAGTGAGTCACTTCTCTAAATAGTTGGTGAGAATTTTACAGATCTGTATTGGGTTGTCTAATTAATGTTTTTTTGTGTGTGTGTGTGTGAACAGGCTAAACGATGAGGCCAGAAATCTGATAGCAGAATTGGGCAGCTCAAGCATCGGCATACTGGGATTCAGAGATAATTGGGTGTTTGTAGGGGGCAAAGGGATCAAGACAAAGAGCCCCTTTGAGCAGGTAATTTAGCTTTATACAGGGATGAAAACATGTCACCTTTCGGCGAAATTCACCATTTTGAATTAAAAATGGGTAATTTGTGTGATTTGTGTAGATCCGGTGAGTTTTTAAAATTGTTTGGGTGGTGGGGGGGTCTTTTTACAGTGCCAATAGTACCAACTCAATTCTCTACCCGCTCGAAGTCGCCCACTTTCAAACGCTCCTGCGTGTTTTTGTGTGCGCTGTGGTTTCAAATGACAAAACCAAAAGTTTCTATTTACAACGTGTTTTTGCAGCACTGAGAATTGTAGCCAATCATAGTCTTTGTCAAATGTTTCACCCATGATGAGTTTGCATCCCTGCTTATATCTTGTTTTCAGGCCGTAGCCCCCACTAATGAGGGGCCATGTCCTGTTCAAATTTTGGGATATTTTAAATAAATAATAAACCATCTTTTATGCCTCCAGTATATCAAGAACAATGCAGAGACCAACAAGTATGAAGGCTGGCCTGAAGTTTTGGAGATGGAAGGATGCATTCCCATAAAACATCAGTAGAATGAATTTCAAATTATTTCGCATTTTCATGTACAGCCTGGAGAAGGTCGAAGAATTCAAAATTGTACATATGCAATGTTGTATTGTTCGATTAGCATTGACAATGATGCAATTAAGAATAGAATAGACTTTAAATTTGATGTTGGACTTCCTGTATTTTAAATCTTACCATTAGTGCTCCTGAGCATTTGCTGCTCTATATTTCTATTTCTTTTACAGGATTCCCAGTACTTTTGACCAGTGAGTTTCCATTACTTTTCTTCCAATTGTCCATGATAACTAAATGGATTGTGCTCATTAAAAAAGAAAAATGTAGCCAGGTCAATATTTTACAGCTTAAAATCACTATAAAAATGTATATTCACTATAGAAATATCCACAACTTAACTAATTGTTGTGAATTTCCCAGCCCTGGAAATCACATTCTTAAAAATTCATGGCTGTGGGAGATCGGATTTGTAGGTTTTTTTTAATAACTGGTCCATAAACAGCAAGTTTTTATCCATTTGTGAGGCTCCAGTGTTATAAGAAAAAGAGAGATATTGAGTCCGGAGATTTACTGCATGTCTTCTTGTTTGTAGTTTTTTTTTTTTTTTCCTCCCAGAAAGTGAAGGGAGAGGGTTTGCGCTCATATTTATCACTGCACTAAGACACTCTAAATGTTGATCAAACTGGATTGAAGTTAAATGGCTAAGGGCTTCTGTCACCAAAATGTATTTATTTCTTTGTTTATGGTTAAAATATTTATTTTTCTACTGGCAATTTTGACTGCTGGACTTTATTCCTGAAGGTAGATAATGAAGAATCTTGTTTTTAATCCTTGAATTTAAAAACTGCCCATATTTCTGGTGTGCGATGGGTTATTGATTTGTGTTGGGTTTTGACCTTCTACTGTTTAACTACTGTCTCCAGTTTCATGCCATTTATCCTTAGCTTTTGGGAATGTTGTTATATACAGTTTAGGGACTTCAAAAGATTTCCATTAGTTATTGTGTTGATAGTCAGTCTGGTTACATGCCAATAGTGTTCATAGCAAGCAATAAATATATAACAGTAACTGAGTTTATTCCTAATTGTGCCTTCTGCAGTGTCAATAGTATGCGCTTTCCTACCAGGTAGTAAAATGTCCCATAATTATTGCGGAATTATAATGCAAAGTCAATGATTTTATAATTCCCTGCACGATTTTAACTGTGAAGTTGTGGATTAAAACCCATTTCTTTTGTAAGAAAACCAGTTATGTGCCTTTTTTTGTTTTTTTTACCACAATTAAATATGCCAAGCGATTTTATCTAGATTTTTCTAGAGTTACATGTGAAATCATTGATGTTGCATGGTCTTAATGTGTAAAGCTGTTGTGAGGATTTATTTAGTCTAAATTAAATTTAAATCAAGTAAACTGTGTATTGTGTGATTGCAGAGTCTTTTGTAATGGCTCTAGGATTTTTTTTTGTAAAAAAAAAAAAAAATAAATAAAAAAAAAAAAATTTTAATATTAAAATGAAGCTGAGCAAATGGTTGTTGCTTTAATTCCTGGGTTTTGTCTTACCTCTGTTTAGATTAAGGCGGTGAAGAATACCCCTAGCATCTGTTCTGCCTCGTCAAAGCATGATGCACAAATCCAAAATGGTACATGTGTTTATAAAGGAGTTTGTAGATTCTTGGAAGTCATCCATTCGGCTCTCATTAGCCTAAGAAAAGACCAGAGAAGGTTTCAAAGTACACAGCTGCACAAGAAAGCAATGGCAAACTTCACTCCGCCAGCTTAACTGATGAAAATCATTTCTCTCAATAACATGTTTATTCCATTCGGAAAATATCAAAATATATAGGTACTGATGTAGGCAACAATATAATGTACAGACCCAGTCTATACAAATGTCAATGTGCTGAGAACTAGTTTTTATGCCATCAATAAATACCTTCAATTCTGACAAACTCCTTGTCTCGTTATACTAATTCTCTAAAACGAATGACTAGCGGGAACTCTGAAACATGGCAATTCATTTATCCTGCAGCAGGTGTCCTTCCCCTCCACCTGCTCAAATCCAGCATCATTATTATGGCAAGGACATATAGAATCTATATTTACAAGTGCATGAGATGCATCCATGAAATCCAATCAAGGTCACTGTATTCGAGCGGGAGAGAATTGCAGGGGCTTGTACAGCTGTACAAAAATGTTCCAGGTTCGATGCTGTCAGTTACCACAGAATAATTTCGACCTCTCTCAGTTTCCATTGAACAAAAAACGTGTTATATTTAAGACGCGGTTGTGGTCTAACTCGCCATTTATCAGTGAGACTAGAGTTTTAAGTCGAATTTGTTACTTTGCCAAGAAATTCTTTACCGGGAAAAAAAAAAATACGCAAACAATACATATATATTTCAAGTCTCTGTACCTGATGTCTTTTTACTACAAGTGAAAACGGAGACACAAGATGGCGCCATTTACGTTCTAGTATGACAGGAATGTGAGCGGTTTCAGTTACCCGGATGAGCGTACTTGCGACAGCGATTGGCCAATCAAAATAAAGTATTCCACAGGTGCGCCTATAAAGTGGTTTCATCACACTTGTCCCGTATTATCATAATTAAAATCCACATAACATCTAAAGCTTTACTTTAGAAACAGAAAATTTAAAAGTTGATTCCAGAGCAATGTCTTAAAGTAAACTTTCGCTGTAAGTGGGTGACTGTGAACACATATTCTTGTACAATCTGAGCAACGAGTCAAAATTATTTTCTGTTGTAATAAATAGAATCGAACCCGGAACAGCCATATTAAAATTAAAATAAACGTTTTGCAGCTTTTTAAAAATAATACAGCCATCATCTGTTAAATATTTATAGTTGTGTAACAGACTTCTTTTGGCTCGATAAATGAATACAAGGCTTCAGACTCTCAACCTAATGCTGTAAATGTACAGAAAGTCCAGACACAGGAACTGAATTGAACAGAGCAATATTTTGGTTGCTGAAGATCACATAAATTAGAATCTCTACAATATGTAAAATAATATTGGTTAAAGTTAAAAATAAGATTTTTTTTAACAGTTGAAGAAAAAGGCAAATACATACTTTTGGCTTTGGAAACAAACCTATTTGAACATGTCAGATATAAGAAGCAATGAGAGTCAATGGAGGATTTATACTTCAGAGGCAAAGATCATGAATAGTGAAAAAAATAAACGGCGTTCCAATGCTTGATGAGAGAACAGGTCTCCACACGAACACCTCAATAAGTGCAAAATAAATAATGCAATATCCCAATCCTGTAATCCAACAGATTTGGTACCATAGTAAACTTGCAGAGATATGATACGTGAAATGTGATAGCCAAAAAATTCCTGGAGGGGGAAAAAAATTAATCACATGATGTTCAGGATGAAATATTAAAAGAGGTGGATCTTGGTATTTCCAATGAGAGCTACTGGAAGGTTCTGAGACAAGTTCAAAAAGTCTTTCTGACAGCATATAACAAGAGTTCTGATTTTAAAACAAAAAACCAAACAAAAAAGTTGCATAACACTGTCCTGTGGAGTATTTCATATGGTATACTATACTATGGAGCTTTTTGGCCTTTTTTGGGATTTTGAAGGATTTGTAATTTAAGGCAAAGATTATTATGATTACTTTAAGCTTTTTGCTTTAAACCCATGATTCAATTTTTGGAAAGCTTAAGCATAAAATGCACTAGAAAATTAGGTAGAAACTGATTAGTTGATCTGAGGGGAGGAAAAAAAACCAAACAAATGTAATTCAATACAATCAGAAGGTCTTGACAACCTACCTAGAATGTTGTCGGAAGAAAAGAAAAAAAACAGCTGCTTGTATATGAATGATAAATAATGCTTTGCATGCAATGAAAAAGTAAAAAAAAAAATCAAATAGGCACACCCCCACCATTAATGTCTAGTTTCCAAATGAGTCAAATTTAAATTAAATGGCTAAACATTACTGCACGAGTGCCAACGTGAACACCATGTCAGAGTATCAAGTCATTAATTTCCGCCCCAAAGCACTTCAGAACATTCAAATACATGATTTAATAAGACTAGGCCATAATAGTATGTTTTTTTTTTTAATCTTAAAAGTGAACTTGGTGTGGCGGTGACCTGTGCAGAAATGTGTCACGCATTACTGAACATTTCAGTTGTGCTTCAACATACAGTAAATTGTTGCAGAGGCTGTTGTCAGGCAAGAAGGCTTTCGATTTTGCATGAGGATGTTCAAGACATTATGCTGTGAAGGATGACCTGTGCTTTCCAATTAGGACCTTCACATCCCTGTTTCCTACCATCCAAGGCTGAGAGCGAAAAAACAGATCCAGAAAAATTAAGAGAGGGACACAAACCGAGGAAAAAAGAAGTCCTGACAGATCCTGTAATCACACGGTCACTGCTACATTTAAAACTGTGCATATCTCATACAAAGTTGAAAGGATTAAAAGACTAACACCTCTGAGCACTGTACTGGTTACTGGTTTGTGTTATATGCCCCTGGCTTCCTCCTCCAATTATGGGCTGATTGGCAGTATCCAGGACCAATAACATGGCAGCATTCTTTATTAAAACACCAAAAGTGGTATTGAGGTTTGGGGGTTCAGAATGGAAGAGGCGGAGAGTGGGTCGGACTCCTATCCAGAGGCTTCAGACAGGTCCATTAGGTGTGATCTCAGCTGAAGAAGGTGTTTCAACTCTATAGAGCATAAGAGAGAGTAAAAGAGGATAAGAGAGGGTGGAGGGCGCTTTTTATGTATCATATAACATCTGGTTGATACACATTCACTATTACCTCATCTCCATCACAGTGGTGGCATCCGACTCTTCTGTAGGCGCTGGAGACTCGCTATTGTCTGTGATGCTGAGCTTCTCCAGAGCTTCAGTAGGCACCTCGCTGCACAGAAAAGAGTGCAGCACAAACGTTTACCACTAAATACTTTTACATCTTTACAGAATCAAAATTGCTTTCACAATTACAACACTGAAAGTGATCACTCTTCATCATTAAAGGGATAGTTCACCCAAAAATGAAAATTACCCCATGATTTACTCACCCTCAATCCATTCTAGGTGTATACGACTTTCTTCTTTCAAACGAATACAATCGGGAGTTGTATTTTAAAAAATGCCCTGGCTCTTCCAAGCTTTATAATGGCAGTGAAAGGCCTTCTGAAGCGATGCGTCTGTGTAAGAAAAATATCCATATTTAAAACTTTATAAACTCTAATCTCTAATTTCCGGAAACTAGAGATTACGGTTTATAAAATTTTACATATGGATATTTTTCTTAAACAAACGTATCGATTCGCTTCAGAAGGCCTTTATTAACCCCCTGGAGCTGTGTGGAGCACTTTTATGATGGATGGATGCACTTTTGTGGGCTTCAAAATCTCAACCCCCATTCACTGCCATTATAAAGCTTGGAAGAGCCAGGACATTTTTGAATATAACTCAGATTGCGTTCGTCTGAAAGAAGAAAGTCATATACACCTAGGATGGCTTGAGGGTGAGTTAATCATGGGCTAATTTTCATTTTTGGGTGAACTATCCCTTTAAATCGTTCAAAACTTGATTGAATTGTTTGGACCAGTAGAGTAAGTGTCATTCTAAAAGTGCAGTCACATTAGTAAAATTTTGTAGAAAAAAAAACATCCACAGTCAATAGTGTAGCCATGTATGAAACATCACAACGAAGTCACTTTCAAACCAAGTAGCTTTCTGTTGGTTGGTCAAGAGGGCAAATTCACAACCAATTCGAACCCTGCAAAATCTTTCACCCTCACAAAATTTCCAACTGCATTGATTCCTATTGAAATGACTGAATTTTGTCTGTGAAAATTCCCCAAGCTATAGTAAACGTGACCGCACCATGAGTCATGAATGTTCTTTGATATAGGGAAGAGCCCGAATGGGATTCACTTTTCAGTCTGGTCTGTCATATTTTTCTCCCCTTTAAGTGGTTTGTTTAGAGAGCATAACTAAACGATCATCACACAACAGGTCTTCTGTCATCGATTAAAAATGGGAATATTATTCCCTTCCTGAAGTCACGAGAAACCTTTTTTTTCCTGGAACTACATTAAAACACTGTAATGCTGCTGTAATGCACTCATGTTCTTACCTCATGGGTGCTGTTGTCTGGTTGGCAGGTGTTTTAAGGGAACCCTCTGTCTTATTTTCTCCAGGGTCCTCTTCACTGTCTGAACCTCCAGACGAGCTGCTGTCTGAGGCCACCAGAGGGGCTTTTTGCCCAGGACTTCCTTCACACGCTCCAGTAGCCGAACCACTGCCAGCCACTGCAAAAAAATTAAATAAAAATAAAACAACAAAACAAAATTTCAACCCTCTTAGTTTTTCTAGTGTATTTACCTTATCCATATTAATGCACCATGCCAATGCCATGTAAATGTGGGCAGTTATTTGTTAATGTTTTGGAGTTTCTGATGTCAAGG